GAGAGAGAGAGAGAGAGAGAGAGAGAGAGAGAGAGAGAGAGAGAGAGAGAGAGAGAGAGAGAGAGGGAAGAATGTGTGTGGTGGTTTGGGTGGTTAGGGGGGTTGGTTCACCTGCAGGGCTTCATCCCGTCTGGCCATGCCAACAAGTGAGCTCTTCCACTTCTGAATGAGCTGACGCTTTTCCATTTCAATTGCGCTCATCTCTACGGAAGCCTCGCAGAGAGTGTCCAAAGCAGATTTCGTTTCCTTCCTCTGTGCAATGGTTTGCGCTTCGATTATGGCTATTTGTTGCCGCATCCTCTTGATCGTCTCTTGCATGTTCAGGATGTGCAAGTCTTGTCGCTTCTTTGCCTTCTCGAGCTTACCAACTTGCTCTTCTGCCACATACGTCGCTCTTCGCGTCACTGCTATCTCCCTCTGCATCTGGTCATTGTACTCTTCTATCTGTTTGAGGGTCAGTCCCAATTTGTCTGTCTCCACCTGTAGCTTCTCCAGATTATTCAGGTCCTCTGCAGTCACGCCCTTTGTTGATGCGTGCTGCTCCCGGACTGCCCCGTACTCCTCGTCGGCCTTCCTATCACGCGCACGCGCACACATCCATACACGCAAGAGAGTCAACCCAAAAAAAACTTGAAAAAAGCTCAAGAAACCCTTTTTTTAATCGTTTCCTCCTCTCCCCTCCCCATTTCAGCCCCTTATCAGAGGCTCATCCTACCCTGGTATAACATGAATAAGGGGTGCCCTCCCATATACTTGCCTATTTTCTCTTTCATCGAACAAACACATAATAGACGCCAGTGGCCCAGTATCCATAGGTAATACTAAAAGGAGGAGCAGGAGGGGGAGGGGGAAGAGGATGAGGAGGAGGAGGAGGAGGAGGAGGTTAGGCACAGGTGATTATGTATGACCATGAAAAAGAAAGAGGAAGAGGAGGAGGACGAGTTGTGAAATAGAACAAGGGAAAAAAAAAAAAGAGGGGAGGAGGAGGAGGAGGAGGAGGTGGGGATTCCTGAGTGTTGGGCTTGTTTGAGGGCAATCCCGCAACTCAAACAAGCCTCAAATGGCCCCTGAGATCAAGTCTCAGGGGCAGGAAGGTAGCCATTTTGCTCGGAATGGAGGGCAAAGTTGCAAACTGCACGGGCATTTTTAAATATAAAAAAGAAGAGAGAGGAAAACAAAATGCATGGGCATTATTACAGCTTGATTAACGTCGACCAGCGAGCATTAACAGTTCAGTGTTTTTTTTTTTGTTTTTTTTTTTTTTTACAGAACACACATTAATCATATATTGCAAAATTCAAATTCAAGAACGAGGCCGGGGACCTCACAATTCGCCCCGGATGGAAAAAGAAAAGGTTCTGAGAGCATTACTCAGCTTTGCTTTATGGTCTGGTTCCTGATGCCAGCCTGCGAACACCTTAGCTATATCCAAAGTTTTTGTTTTTGTTTTTGCCTCAAAATATATCTCCAAAGCATTATGCTATGTGTGATGGTACACCATAGGGGCCTAGCGGTAAAGGGGGGTATCTTGGTCGGACGATGTGGGATAGTAGTTTTGCAAGCAGTTGAGCCACAGTCGTTGGGAAGCACTCACTCAAGTGTCATGTGCAATCCCCTAGGTTTTGAGAGCATTCTTGTGGTGGGTTATGATAGGTGCTAGGCAGGGATATGGAGCATACTGCCTGAGAGGAGGGAAGAGGGGCAGGGAGGGGAGGGAGGAGGGAGGAATCGCTCACTCAAGTGCGATGTGCGATGTGCGGTCTGCTGGTTCTGAGAGCACCCTTGTGTTGCCCTGTGATCGATGCTACGTAGGCAGGGGTACGTAACATATTGGCTGAGAGGAGGGAAGAGGCAGGTGGGGCCAAGGGTGCCGGTTCTGATCGGTGTGTCGACACAAACGGATCCGAGGCCAAAAAGTGCTGAAAAGGGGCTGGCAGGCAGGGAGGGAGGGAGGGAGAGTGGGTTGCACATTGTAGGGGCCCACTGAGTTCCATGTGTGGTTCCTGGTACCTTGAGCCTGAGCTTGTTGGCGTGTTCAAACTGCTCATGGGTTTTCTCCAAGGTCATTTGGAGCCTTGCTAGGTGCTGTTGTGTGCCATACATCCGTACTCCGAGGTCCTCTCTTGCACGTTTCTCTTTCTTCAACGCATACTTCTTCTCCCGCAGTCGCTCTACCACGTCCTGCAAATTGTTCAGCAACTGCTGTTTCAGGGCAGCTTGGGCGCGCTTTAAGAGAGGATTGTCTGGATCCAGACCAGCTTGAAATTTCACAATACGTGTACCGGTCCCGCCTTTGGCGCCAAGCCCCTCCGCTCTTTCTTCTTCCCCTGGCAAAGAAGAAGGCCCTCCTTCGGCCGTCTGTGTTCCCCCTCTCAGGCCCTCTTCATGGTCATCCTCCCCCTCTAGGTGGTCCAACCCATAGCCCGTAAGGGGCTCTCTGCGACCCATGCCGCCTTGCAAGTCATCCGCTTTGTCAATGGGTTGAAGAGTTCCCCTTCCCCCCACCCTGTTGAGATCGTATCCCTCTCCCTCCAGCCCTTGCACAATAATTTGTCGTCTCCTGTCTTGCTCTTGCACCTCCCAGGCCGCTGCAGCATCGTAAGGAGAGCCTGAGGCAGGGAGAGGTCGTTTGACGCCCTCGTCATCCACATAGCTACCCCTAAGGGCCGCGGGTAAAGGGGACGCCTCGAGACGTCTTCTTCTCTCCTGCTCCTCTATTTCCCACCTTGTTGACGCACTGTGCGGCGACAAATGAAGGCCCTCGCCTCCGGGACCCTGCTTGTGGTGGTGCTTACTTCCCTTCCCAGCCGAGTCCGCTGCTCCATGCGTAGCCATTTCAACTACATCTCTCACCACTGAGTCCACTGAGTCCACTGAGTCCATTGCTTGCATATTTCGGTTTCCATGCATAGCCATTTCTACTACATCTCTCACAACTGAGTCCACTGCTTGCATACTGGGTCTTCTCGGGTCTTGTTCCGTCGCCTCCCGCCCTCCGATATCCTGAAGAGGAACGAGACTTCGTCGTCGAATTCCCGTGCCGTCTGCATAGCTGCTATCCCCCCTAAGGGCCTCTGGTAACAAGGCAGCCTCAAGGCTTCTTCTTCTCTCTTGCTCATCAAGTTGCCACCTTGTGGACACATCATAAGGCGATGACCGGCGGGCGAAAGCACCGCCACCACCCCCATGTTTTCCCCCCAACTCATCATCTCTCTCCTCTCCTCCCTGCTCTGCCTGGCCTTCCATAATGCGTCGTCGTCTCCTCTCCTCTTCCTGTGCTTCCCAGTCTGCCATAGCCGGGCGCGGAAAAGGAGCGGCACCATGAGACAGGTGCCACCGACCTCCCGCTTCATCAATGTCCAGTTGCGGCCCAACCCCGAGCATTCGTCCCCTCTCTTGCTCCGTAGCTCTCCACCGTCTCGTAACATCGTCATCGGTCAACTCCGAGGGCCTTTGACCTGCACTGCCTTGGGTAGTCAGCCACTCGTGGGCACCTTGTTTGACTTTGACTTCTCTTTGCGCCCGTTCGCCCTGCGGCCCCTGCCTTCGATCGCTGCCCAAGGTCCCAGCTGCTTCCGACCTTGTTTGACTTTGACTTCCCTCGTCCTCCCGAGCCCCCCAGATTCTGGAAGGATCGGACGCGCGACGCGCCTGGCCCAATGACACCCCCCCGCCGTGTGCATCGCTGCCCTGCCACCCTCGAGAAGCATCATCATGCGCAGAGGCCCTGGGTGAGGAGGATGCACCATATCCCCATAGGACTAAACCCCTCTGACCTGCAGGCTTGTCTTCCTCCCCCTCTTTCCCTCCAGTGTCCGCGCTGCTTCGCCGCCCTTGCTCTCGAAGACCGAGTCCCGAGCTTCTGCCAACTTCGTGAGCCAGGGGTCCCAGAGCAGGAGCAGCCGGCCTTCGACCGATGACCTCAACGCCATCCTGTGGCTGGTGATGCGCCCCCTCCAAGCTTCTTTGCTGTTGCCACATCTCCCGGTTTCTAGAAGCATCTTCACCAGACGAGGGACCATGAAAGTCAATATTACTTCCTTCCACCACCCTGCGGGTCCCACCCTGCTTGTCCTGCTCCTGATCAGTCGCGTTCTCTCTTGCACTAGCAGGTACTTCCCCCCCTCCCCACCCTCCCCCACCGACCACCTCTCCTCCTCCTCGTCTCTCTTCCTCTGCACGCTCTTGTTCTGCTGTATCAGATAAAGAGGGCCTGGGGGTTACCAACCCCCCTGGGCGCCTGTCATTACCTTTGTCGCCTTGCAGCACAGGGCCTGGCTGTGTTTCAGATAAGGAGGGCCTGGGAGTGACCGGGCCCTTTTGGGGCCTGTCATTGCCTCTGTCGTCTTGCAGTACAGGGCCTGATTGTCCTCCTTCTCCTTCTCCTCCTCCTCCTCCTCCTCCTCCTCCTTCTCCTCCTTCTCCTCCGCCTCCTCCTCCTCCTCCTCCTCCTCCTTCTCCTTCTCCTTTTGCTCGACGATGAATTACCCGTCTTTGCTCACGGACTTCCACCCTTCGTCGAATGGTTACCTCTTCTTGTTCTTCAGTGTAAGCGACCTCGCCCTGCGAAGGAAGAGGGGGAGGAGGTGGAGGAGGAGGAGGAGGAGGAGGAGGAGGAGGAAGAGATGCCTGGGTTTCTGGTGGGCCTTGAACCGTTGCCAGCCGTTGGTTATCCTCCCCTGGCTCGCTCCTTGGCAGCGCCTCTTCACCCTCGTGCGCCATCTTGCAGGGGCAGGTCGAAGTATTATCACCAGAGTGTCTATCTGTCTACCTCTAAGTCACCTCTGCTCCTCCTCGTCTCGCAAAAGGTAAACAGCTGGCCTGCCTGTACGAGTGACACGTGGATGTCATTCTATCCAAAATCCTGCACTCCGCCAAAGAAATCGTCTTCATGCATGCTGTAGAGGTGACATTAAGCTCTTTCCAAAAACCTGCACTCCGCTGTCAGCCTCCGACGCGGGCATGGCAACTCGCTCATCCGGTTCTCTCTCTCTCTCTCTCTCTCTCTCTCTCTCTCTCTCTCTCTCTCTCTCTCTCTCTCTCCTCTCTCTCTCTCTCTCTCTC